GGGGGGGGGGGGGGGGGGGGGGGGGGGGGGGGGGGGGGGGGGGGGGGGGGGGGGGGTAGCACACACATACCACCATCCGTGTCAGCGAGTCGGCGAGTCAGCAGTGGTCGGTGCTGTGAAGTCGAAACCGAAAATACCAGCTGGAAAATACACATGCTTGCTGCTGCTGCTGTGGCGTCACTGAAAGACAAAAAACTCACAACAAAGACTACCCGCCAGGAGAAAACAGCGCCTCCACCGTCCAACGGATTTGCTGCAGTCTTCATAGCAGTGATTGTGGAAAGGAGCCGGCTGGATATACCGGGCACATGCTTTTAGCCTGTCGGTGCTAGTTTGCGCAGTGGTTGCACAGCGGTACACACGCAATAGCAGCAGCAGCAGTCCCTCCGCGCTGTTCCTCGAACTGCTCGCAGCCGCACACACGAAATTTGCTCCAACAACCGGCGCACAGCAGACAGATACGATGAACGTCACTCACGATGAACGAGCGTTCGTGGGCGGTGCCGGGCTCCCCAGTGTACTTGAAGGTAGGAGCGGCGCACAGCGCCGTCTCCTGCTGCTGCTGCCTCTCGCTGGCCAAGGCGACAGCGCCTGCGGCAGCGACCGCAAGCACTCCGGCTGCTGATGCTCCGCCGCTCAAGGCAGCCCCCCGAGACACGACACCGCGAGCAGCAGCAGTGGACGCCTGGGCGGCAGGCATCGACACAACCCTAGCCGACGCCCGGCGAGCTACGTGGCCCATGCGAGAGAACATGATTGGCAGAGGTGTGGGGGAGAGAAGGAGAGAGAGACACGGAGGGAAATGTACAAAGCGTGCACGATCATGTAGCAGAGGCTGCGTGCGGCTGCGAGAAGCAGGGGGGGACGTTTTGGGGCGTTTTGCGTGCATCCCCTTATCTATAACCCCTCCTTATTGACCCTTTGTTCTTTACGCGGCAGAGAGACACACCGCACGCAGCGTCACCCTCACCCGTCCCTTCGCCCCAGAAACTAGCGTTAGCTAGAACCTCTAGTACACGCAAGGTGAGGAGGCCAGCTGCGGGTATTGTGGCCATGGGTCTTGGGCAGAGAGAGAGAGAGAGAGAGAGAGAGCGAGAGGCCAGTTGACCCACGGCGACGGCCGCGGTGGCTGTTTGTAATGTGTCATGGTTGCACGCATAATACGGTCGCAATCGTCACTTTTGTTCTTCGTCTGTTGCTAACCTGTGCTGGAGGATGAGGCACAGAGCAGCACGGAGCAAGACGTCCCCAACCCGGCGTCTGCCCCTTCTCGTTTCCTGCCCCAACAGTTTCTAAGCATGGCTACCGAGGAGTTCAAGTACCACATCTGCTGCATGGGTGCTGGGTACGTGGGCGGGCCGACCATGGCTGTGATCGCCCAGCGCTGCCCTCACATCCGTGTGTGCGTGGTCGACATCTCCCAAGCGCAGGCGAGTTTCGGCCCCTTCCCCCATCTTTTTACCGTTTTCTGCGTTTTATGCGAACAGCTAGCTGCCGCAGCGTTATCACACAGACTCCTGCGTGCGGTTGACACCCTAGTGGTAGGGCTGCGCGCCGCCGATTTGGCGCATGTGTATGCCGCGGCAAGGTTTTAATCTCGATGGAGAGCACGACAGAACATTATCTCATGTGCATTCACGGAGATATTCCATCAGTCCATAGTAACAAGATGAATTCTTCCCGCACTTCTTGTTCCTTCCTGCACTTGTTCGACCCACCTCCACTCTACTGCTGCCGCCGCCCTCTATCTTCTTCTTCTCACTTACTCGCCCCGCCCCCCCGCTGACTCCTCGCTACACCCTTGTGTGCCCGCTTTTTTTGCAGATCGATGCTTGGAACACCGACGAGCTCCCTATCTACGAGCCAGGTCTGCTGGAAGTGGTCAAGGAGAGCCGGGGCCGCAACCTCTTCTTCTCCACCGACATCGACGCCGAGATCAAGCGCGCGGACATGGTGTTCATCTCCGTGAACACGCCGACCAAGGTGCGTCAGGGGGTCCATCCGATTCGTCGGGGTTTCTTACGACCGCCACTGCCCTTCCGCCGACGCCTGTGGTACAAGGAATCACACGCTTGCTGGCGGACCATTGTTGTTGTTCTGCATGTTTTCTTGGATATGATACCATGCTTTTTCGGCTCTTTTCAGCACTCCTCGCCCACGTCTCACGGGCTTAGAACGAAGCTTTGCTGCCGTGGCTGGGGCGAGACCTTTCTTTTCCCGCACCGCGTGTGGGCACTCACACATTTGTAACGAACACGTCGGCGCGATGCTTGTTCGCGCACCAGCGGTGCTTCCATGTATTTCGATGCTGCTGCTGCTGCTGCTGCTGCTGCTGCTGGGCGTCTGCGCGGTGTTTGCACCAGCAAGCGGCAACATCGTCTGAACCACATGTTTGTGGCGAGAGAGAAGCCGCCAATAATGCCGTTTGATTACGAAGCTATTCTAACAATAGAAGATAACCCGTTCTCAAGCCCGTTTTGGCAACGGCCATCCCGTGGGACGGTCTGCAGAAAATACGCTCATTGCGTCGGTGGCGGTGGCGCTGTGACACGGTACATGCGTATCGTGGATGACCCCCACAGCAGTTGAATGGGAAAACACCGTCAATAGTAAACAAGGAAGACATGAAACACGAGAGCCAGAGAGTTTCACCGCAAAGATGTGCGGTAATCAAAACGACGTCCGGACGAAAAATAGCATCCATATCATACGTGGGAGTGACGCCCGCGCACGGTTTATTCCGGTGTGGTTCCGCCGAACTCCAGGTCTGTTGATCTCTCCTCGACGAATCACTACTGTGTCATTGCCGAACACCGCCGCCAGACTTTTCGCCGCTACATCCAGTAGAGGAATGCCGCCGGTCACGGCGTCAGGGGTGAAGGCCTCGACCCACCCAGCAACAACATGAATTTTTCGACTTTTGAAAGTACGTGCAATTGAATGCTGGTGCCGGGCAACTGACACCTGCTACGTTTTTTGCTGAAGCTGAAAACTTGCATCAGCGTTCGCTTATTCTTGTCGTACGTACCACGAGCTAGCAAGCGGAGAAATACATCTGTCGGAGACGTCGAGTGCTTACCGACAACATCGCCGAACAACGCTGCAAACAACCACGACCACGACCGCTACCGACATTAAAATTAACCTGGGAGCACCTTCTGCCTCGCACAAACACGACGCGCTCCATCGTGAAACCTTGGTTTCAGGGGGCACGCAGATTCAGTCAACGCGACATACCCCCCACCCCTCCACCAATATTTCGCCTTGTCGTGGCGTTTCAGACGACCGGTATCGGTGCGGGCAAGGCGGCCAACATCAAGAATTGCGAGCTGTGCGCCCGCAAGATCGCCGAGGTCGCGGACACCCCCAAGGTATGAAATGAAGGCCTGTCGAGATAAAAGTGGGGCGTGTCAGCGTTTTACGCCCCTCCCCCCAATGTGCAGCGATATCGGCCATCGGTGATCGGTCCTGTGGGAACAATGCTCCGTCCTCTCGAAGACGCGTGGTCAATGGTCTAACCGCTAG